CATGGCATCATTCAGAAGTGCCTTACTTTGTAAGCAGAGTCCGTATCATCAGCACAGCATGAGACAAGCACAGTGTGCAGTCCCCCTGTTTCCTTCCCGCTGGAGTGGTACTCATTTATGAACCTCGGAAGGAAGGAGGCAAGTGACCTCGACCAGGCTCTAACCCGCAAGCTAGTAGACTTTGTACCTGTTCGACCGAGTGAACAACTCCGGTCTCAGCTGTGGGACAGAAGTTCGTCTCCCGACTTCGGCGAGAGCAATGCATTTTCGAATGGTAAAAATGAGTCTGTCTGAAGATGTACCCGCCGACGAATTAGCGTTCATGAATTAGCAATTCATGAAACATGGTCAGATACAGTGACTCGCAAAACATTTCTGTTAGTTGTTTGAGAGATGCACAAGAATTGGGCGGTCTGTTGGTCGGTCGATCGTCGGGCCACCAATTTACGGAGGGTTAAATGGTAGCAGTCCTTCGCTGCGCCCAATTAGTGGTCGCGGACCGAGTGCAAGCTGAGGACGACGTCGACGCAACGACGAGGGCCAACATCGCATTGAGCGTTTTTCGTCGCCGTGCACTCGATGAGCCATTATCACGACAACAATAACCGTTTGAAGTAGTCGAAATCATTTGCCTCGTCTCAGTACCTCTATCTGATAAAATTTACGATGGCGAATTTTCATAATGTAATGCCTCAGTCCGACATTGATCTGTTATTTCTCATCATAATTCAGCACGTCCGACGGTCTGCGTAAGAGGACGAAATGCTTGCACAACGCCGAGGACGAGTACACGTACAGCCGCAAAGACGGACGGGTGAATTTCATGCTGTCGTCGATCTCAGTTTACATGGTGCATGTACATGAGCCATTATGGAATACTCGCCACGACTATCCCTCGGACACTGGGCAACGGCTCCCGGTGATTCTCCCCCTGAAATGAAACGACGGGACAGACGTGGCTGAAAACTGTCATCGCCGGTGGTCGTTGCCGACCGTGAAAACGCAAGACGTCTTGCCTCGCCGAGTTGCGTTGTGTCGAATTTCCGGCGCCGACGAAGGCAAGGAATTCCAGTGAATTAAGCAAACGACATTCTCGAATTCGAGCACAAAAGGCAAAAAACGTGAGTCAACTGGAGTCGAATCAAGTCCAGACGGGACGGTTGGGTCCAATCAGTTGCTTTCAGTCAACTTGTGTGATGCTGTCGCTGTCGCTGTAGCGGGAATTCGCATCTGCACATGTATAAAATAAATAAATGATGATCATTCGACCATCCGTCCGTCCGACCGACCGGCCGGCCATGACTCACGGGGGGGCCAACGATTATGCGAAACGGCCAGCGACTATTGATTTCTATCGTTTACCAAAAATGTGCATATCGCTCAAAATTATTTATGAACCGAAGCCGAGGCATGCACACGACAGACCGTGGATGGCAACTATCACTAGGGACCGAAACAAAACGAACCAATCCGCCATACGACTGGTCGATCGTCAATGTCACCAAATGAGATTGAAAATTCGGAGATTAGGGAAATCCAGTTTAGGTGACATGAGCATGGTGATCAGCGACCAGCAATCGCTCGGCTGGGCTAACTCAGTTCGTAGAACATCAAATCAGCAGTCGGTACAATTAGGAGTCGAATTCAGGAGCATTCACTCACCTCTCATCCTTTCGAAGTGGATAAATAAGTGCCACTTCCTAAAAACGAATAACAACAACAAAAACTACAGCGTTTACTGGTCATGGTAATCAATAAGCACTGACCAGTTGGGTCAAAGCGAACTACAGTCAAAAGGGGCACAAGCGACTTGCTACTCATTTTTCGATCGGTTGCACTGAAGAAACGTGAGTTACATTTCTTGCTTAAAAAAATTAGCATTCAAGGCCAATTTTGCCTTTTGCCAGATTCGGAACCCACCTCCTTGATACTGCGCAACACCGGAAACAAGAGACCAGCTTTTCGCTGTCGATCACCAAACTCTAGATACATCCTTAAGGCAGTAGATACAGAAAAACCAAGGTACTGATGGCTGATGACACAGAAAGATTACAGCCGTGACATAAGCTATATGAAAGATGGGTGCCACAAGCTGAATATATTTACGAAAGTGAGGGAGGCAGACACCACGACTACAGAGTTGCATACCCTTCCTTTCGACTGGACTATCTGCCGGTAGAGAGTCGGCCTAATAGTCAGAAAATTCATGGTTCGAATTCTAATTCACAATGATATCGCCTGCCTTTCGACTTTCCGACGTAAAGGAATGAATACCACTGCCATGGATGGAAATAAAGCAAGGGTCGCAACCATTGTGATATCAGTTTTCTGTACACACTTGCAATGCAGCACATGTTATGGGGTTGGGGGGGACCGCTTGTGATGCGGCTTGCTGATCTATATCACACTGCTCTGTCAACGGCAATATCTACGGCTATGCGATGAGCACTAGACATGGCCTGCTGTTCCTCGTCCCACACAGTGGTATTCATTTATCTACTCAGAAGGACGAAGCACGAGGTATTCGGCTGGGCCTCGAACCACGACTTTACGAATG